ATGAGAGTCATTCTGCAAAGTGAGAGCAACACACCTGCTGCATCTCTGTCTCCACACCTGCCTGGGTCACTAACTAAAGCAGCTCATCTTCATGGAGACGGACCTGGGTTTCAAAGCGGGCCGTCTTTCTCTCGGACCACCTGCTGCATGGAACTCAACTGAAGACACAGCCAGAGAGACTAGACAAGTTACACTCCAGAGTAGTTCACAGACAAGTCTTTCAGCCTAACCTCCAAAGATGGGCACACAGCACTGACGGACAGCGCTTCTCTAAACTGCAGCTCTGAGGGGCAAGGGTGAGAATGGCAGAAGAGCAAGAGGCCTGGCAGTAACTTCCAGACAAGGGAGAAAGTCTACTATCAAACTCAGAATCAACCATACATAACTTTAATTTAAAAAAATCTTCACAGATATTAAAAATGTTATAAATATGGGAGATTTTTTTTAATTCGGAAAAGATTAGACAATAAAACATACAAGTGAAGTTAATTTTCTGTTAACTCCTTCAGTATCAGACTCATGCTCAAAAAATGGTCCTGGAACCTCCCTCCTGTAAATTAGCAGTTCAAGCCATCAACATTATTCCAAAATGCTCTACAAATGGAAATACAAGTCTATTCTTTCTTGTATGGTTTTCAAAACTGCTTTGACTAAAGAACTGCTTGTGTTTTCAAGGGCACACCACCTCCACAGAAGCCACGTCCAGTTGTAACTCCGCAGGCCATTCCCTTTAATGCATTCTTCTTCTCTGTCTTTCCCAACTCTTCCCCACAAGAACGTGGCTTGTCTAGAGTGTGACCTAGCTCTCGGGGTTCTTCTCTGACTTCCCCACAAGAATGTGGCTTGTCTAGAGTGTGACCTAGCTCTCAGGGTTCCTCTCTGTCTTCCCCACAAGAACGCAGCTTGTCTTGAGTGTTACCTAGCTCTCAGGGTTCTGTTTAAATCCCATCTTTTTTTTTCTGTATAAGTTTCTATAACTACCATGTTCACAAAATACTTTAAAGCTGATGCTACTTTTATCAACTTTATTTCTTGAGATAGGTCTCCCTGTGTAGCCTGGAACTTGCCATGCAGTCAACACTGGTGTCAAACCCATGATCTGTACACCTCAGTCTCCTGCATGCTAGGGCAATGGCTTCTGTTACCACACATGGCCTTTGGTATTTTTTTGGAGTGGCTTGCTCCACAATGGACCTGTTAACATATTCATATGCCTTGGTTGCCTTTTTTCAAAGTAACTTAAAAGAATAAAATATGTGCAACATTTTCCTGTCCTACACTATGTATGAAGCATGAAAGCTCCAACAGAAGCTAATAGGATAAGATTATCAATTTCTGGGTATATAACTCTGTGTGCCCAACCGTCAGCCATTCCTACATGGAAGACACCTCTGTTATCAATATGTGTGATGGCTAAGATCAGCTGCATGTTGTGTGCAAAGACTTCCAGGGATGAAAATGTGGCATGGTACAAAAGCATCCTCAAAGGAGAACTACAGGAAACTGAGAAAAACAGAGTTGAGGGAGCTGGCGCAAACAGGCTGGCTCTCGCTTCAGGATGATCATGATAAAGAACGCTGCATACTAGAGTCATTAGCAAGGGGCTTCATACCCTTCTCTGCTTCTTTAGTCTATGCTCATTAAGTAACTTGAAGGTTAACATGTATCTTCCTAACGAGATTTTAATTAGAAAAGAACGAAGCTAATAATTTTATTTCTTTTGTTTTATCTATCCATTTCCTTTGAGTTCGGCCATGAACCCATTCTTAAGATACAGAATCTCTGTGTGCTATTAAAATGTAGTATCTGGACATAAGGACTAAAAACAGCCATCTTAAAGCTATGGCAAGTTCACCAATATAAATGGCGTTCTTTTGAGGGGTTCTGGTATTTCCTACTAAGATATGAACCACTTAGCATACTTCTAACTTCTTCTGCCACACCTTCCTAGGCTTGGCTTTAATATCCTAGCTACCATACTTTCATCTACCAAGCTTTACAAGCAACTGCTGGGATTGACTTGCCACCTGCACCATTCTGGACCCCATGGATTTTGTCCTAATGGGGGTGCCATCATCCTACCTGTGCAGCTTGATCTGCCTGTGTCTAGCTGAGCTGAGTCCGCAAAGTGCTAATGAGTTCTTCCTTTTCATGAAGCTGCTGCTTCATCAGGACAAACTCCCCCATCTCTGCCAAACTCTTATCCAACTGAAGGGGGAAAATATTTACTTAAGCAATGGGGTTGGCATTCTTAGTTCTTTTGACTTTCTCATTTGTCTTGAATACCTACCATATTTCCTTCTAATTTCCACTTTAATGCAAAAAAAGAATTTCATTTGCTAATTTTTAAAGTATCATAGAATTGCCAGAATTTTTCAGAAGAAGACAGAAGCAATAGCAATATTTTTTTGATTCCTTTGAAAGCTAATATAGCAAAACTACAGACCAATTAGACAGTGAGCAGAAAAACACGGATAGTATTAACAATATGTGGGACGCTATCCTACCAACCTTGGACTAAACAAGTTAAGGGCAAACCATGAAAATCAGGATTTTCTTGGCATTAGAAGCTGTGAAATAAAAAGGAGAGAGCAATAGAGCTACATCTGATGGTCCTGTGGAATAGGAAAAAAAAATCCAAGGTAACCAAGAATTATTTGTAGGAATAGATGGCAGCCAGCATTAGAAGAGAAGCAACACTTACCATTCTTTGATCATGGGTAAATGCAGGCCATCCACAGGGGGAAAAAATCCCATATGCGATCTGTATATAGAGAGGCTTAGGAAAGGTTCAGAGGCAACTAGCACTTGCTGCTCTTGTGAAAGGACCCAGGTTCAGTTCCAGCGCCCACAGCTATCTCTAACTCCAGTTTCAGGGGATCTGATGTCCTCGTCTGACCTCTGTGGGGATGTAGTGCATATACATCCATGCAAGCAGAAACATTCACACAGAAAATGAATGAACAATTACATAATATCATTAAAAAGTCAGGCATGGTGGCTCATGCCTAGAATTCCAGTACTCAAGAGGCTGAGATAGGAGGACTGCCACAAGTTCAAGGTAAAACTGGGCTACAATGTGAGACCTTGCCTTAAAAATGACAACAAAAATCATAAAGAATAAGGAGCAGAACAATATGCTGAAAGACATTATAACTTATTTCAGAGTTAAACATGTTTAAGAAAAATGACAGGACAATTAGAAAGGAAAATTAGAATTAGAAAAATTGTTTAAAAAGTAATAAAATTCATGAAGTTTGTATAAAAGAAAACTCACTTCAGAAAAGAAAGCCAAACACAAAACAGAATGCCTCGAGTTAAATAATAAGAAGGATAAATCTAAAAAGTATTAATCAAAATTGGTAAAAAAATAATATACAACCAAAAATAAAGGTTAACATAAACATGCAAGGAAGAAAATGAAAGCATCGGAGCTGATCAGGTGCTGTGAATCATGTAATTCAAGAGTTTCTGAAAACACATGATCCATATATGAAAGAATATACTGAGTATGTGAAAATACCAACCGAGAAGTGCATACCACACATGCAAACTCTAGTAAATGAGTAGATGTGGAAGTAAGAGAGAGCGGGAGGGGCCGGCAGGGAGGGGCCGACTGGTGGGAGATAGCTACTGGTTATCTAGAAAGAGGCATTTACCATGGATATCTCTTAGAAGTCATCCTGGTTTAGAGTCCCAGAACAGTCAGAATTTCATAGAAAGACCCTGTATCAAACAAACAAACAATAAAACCAATCAACCAACCACCACAACAAAATCAAACAACAGAATCAAGAAAAAAGTTAACAAAAAGGGATGAATTTTGGGCTGATAGCTGAGTTTAAGCAAGCTTTTTCTACAACCACGAAGACTAGGGTTTGGCTCCTAGAACCCACAAACACCTGTTACTCCATCTTCAAGGGATCTGACACACCCTCTTCTTGTCTCTGATACCCTTCTCTGTCTGTTGCTGTCCGTCCATGCCCCCTGCCACACACATGCACACATGTACGCTGCGCTAAGCACATCATGGCACACCATGGTTACAGGGCTGCTGTGACTGACAGCTGGAGTGGACTGGGACTGCTGGGCATCACTTATTTAACACGGAAAGGAAATGATGTATAAGATGCTGGCATGTTTGAGGCCTGAGGGCTAAGTAGTAAGCTAGAGTGAAATGCAGAGTATAAAATGGATAAATAAAAAAATCTAACAGCACGACTCAAGGGAAGTCTGAAAGAACAAACACGAAAAGGAAAGGGTTAGTGCCTGCCACACAGCCAGGGGAAGAGAGTTGCCATAGGAACTATAGAGGAGGAAACTAATTCGAACAAAGAAATTACTTGCTTTTAAAACCAACTTTGAGATGTTAAACAACCCTATTCTATTCCCCTCCTTCTCGTGCTCCTGCTGTACGAGGAACTAAACCTAGGGCCTTATCCACACTGCATAGGTGCTCTTCTCCTGAGTCACATCCCCAGGGCAGACAAGGAACAGCAATGTCCCTGAAAGGCAAGGCTAAGGAGGGCACTGGGAGGTAACAAGTGCCCTCAAGGGCTGTGGCTAGAACTTAAAAAACTCCTGTCAGAACGAACATTTCTGGTAATATAACACAGGTAGCAGGGGGAAGTCAAGGCTGACTTACAACCACTGTGAGTCACAGCGGCCCAAAAGCCTCATTGCAATCCACACACACACACACCCAAAACCTGGTGGTCCCTGTTCTCTACATAGATACCCGAGCGTGGCTCCGGATAGAAGAGGACACCTGGAACAACACCACACGCCTCTAAAGACAGCTTGCTTTAGTCCCTCTGCATCCTGACTGGATGCAGTAGCCATAAACCTTGCTGGCCTCCTCACAGGGACACCAGGGTGAGCCAGGCAACTCAGCTCATAGTGCATAAAACATCAACGCACCATTCATTATTCGCTTACAGAAACAGAGAATATTCTTTAGTAGTTAAGCCATAAAAGGATTTCAGAGCCGGGGGAAAACCTTAGAGACCACAGTTTTTAATGTTAGAGCCAATAATCAAACTCATCCACAAAGGATATGTTCTCCTCTCTGTCTCGCTCCAGGACTCACTTCTTCCTGTCAGCCCTTTGAGAGTCTCACTGGGAGTCTCACATTTCTGTGCGCCTTTGCTCTCCCAGTGTGGCCTTCGGTCCAAGCAAACCACAGGCTCGGAGGGAAGGGCAGCATTTCTGCGGCATCATCTCACCGCTGCAGGTGTGCTGAGCTAGGGCTCCTGGCTCAGAGGACTGCAAGTTTCTATCCAGTTCCCGTACCTTGGAGAGCGGCCCCGCTGCCAGAAGTTCGGTGGGCTTAGGCGAAGCAGCCCCTCCTTGTGCCTTCATTTCTTCGAGGTGTTTGTTCAAAGAAGTGAGTTTCACTTCTGCATGAAGTTTTATTATTTTTTTAATTTTGTTATCAGCAGCTTTACGCTCCTCCTGCCATAGAGCAATGAAGACAATAAACGGGTATTCACTGTTGACCCAGCACACAGCTTACTCGCGGCAGGCAGCGCGTTACAGCACTTAGCAATAAGAAGATGCTAACGCTCTAAGCGGATGAACTGTCTTTATCGAATGCTCAGTGAATAGCGAACGCCAACACCTGCAGAGCTTCGTCCTCCTGTCTAATGACGTCCTTTTAGCTCCACCACTAACTTCTCTGCATCAGCCAGGCGTTCCAGAACATCACCTTGCATGCTATTATTCAATTCCATGCCAGATGCCTGGTGTAATTCCTGGGATTTAGACAGAAAGCAATAAAAATAATGCACAGGGGAAAGGCAGCAACTCCCCGCAGGGACTGCTACATCCTCACCTCAATCGCTGGCCAACTCCTCTCTTTTGAAACTGAGCCCTAACGAATCCCACAGCAGTTATCCTTGCCATTACAATATAGTATTTTGTCTAATTTAGAGTGTTTGTTTTAAAACTTGATTTTCTAGCTTATGTATGAGTACTGTGTAAGTACACCTGCAGGCCAGAAGAGGGCACCAGATCCTATTACAAACAATTGTGAGCTATCATCTGGTTGCTGGAAATTGAAAACTCAGGGCCTCTGGAAGAGCAGCTGGTGCTCTTACCTGCTGAGCCATCTCTCCAGCCCCAGAACTTTTATTATCCTAATTTCATCCAAGAGGAAAATAAAGGGAGGCAAGGATTATAGTATTAAGTGGAGGAACTCCAAATTTAAAATTAGAGCTGAGTCGAGGGCTTAGCTGGTAGAGTGAAGGCCGCGCTTGCACAAGGCCTGGCTTCAGTTCCCGGTCCTGCAGCAACTGGCATGGATGGCAGCGCACACCTAGGATCCAACACTCAGAAGGCAGAGGCTGAGAGATCGGGAGTCCAAGGTCATCTTTGGCTAGCTACAGAGCAAGTTGAAGACCAGCCTGGAATACATGAGACCCTGTTTCAAACAAAATAAATTAAATTAAAATAAGTTATTTGAAAATTAAAACAAAAGCCCTTAACTATTTGGCTTGCTGCTTGTCTTTGAAAAAGTTAATGGACTTCTTTTGAATTCTTAAGGGTTGGAAAACACAATGTAAACTACAAGAAAGGCAGACAAATTTACGGAAATAAACAGAGGTTTTCAAACAAAAAATGGTGCTCCGGTCCTCTTTACTCTTTACACTTTTCCCATGAAACATGAGCTATGTCCCTAAGGAGGAGGAAGAGAAGGAGAGGGAGGTGGAAAGATAGGAGGAAGGGGAGGAAGAAGATGTTAACAATAACTTCTTAAGACAGTTTGGTACTAAACTGTCTAAGCAGACAATAGAGACCCATCTTTCCCGGCCCATCTACACTTGGTTTCTGTCCCGACAGCTCTCGGACTAATAGTCCTTAGCACAGGGTCATTTACAGAGTGGCAGTGATTTCCTGAAACATCACTTCTACTTTGCATGAGGAGGCTGCTCACATCCCTCTAGCCTAAGGTATTCTCCTCAGAGGAACACACAACGGAGGTCTTGTTACTCTGGATCTGGACAAAGTTACAGCTTCTAAGAGAGCTTTCATATTCTGGTCAGCATTATATCCTGATAATTCATGAAAAAAAAAAAACATTTGCTAGTCCTGATAATCGTCCCAGCATCTCTGCAAGTGAAACAGAAAAGAAAATGCAACGATCAGTAAAAACAGATACAGGCTGCTGGAGAGGAAGTGAAGCAGACGGGTGCAGCTAGACATTAATACCCATATCATCTATGTGAGAGAAGGCACTGTCACTGGATTCAGTGTGAAGCTAGCTGTATGCATGGTGTAGGCACACCCTGTTCTGTTTGGGTGCAATACTGTAATCACCATCACTAGGAAGGAACTGACGCTGACCAGGTAAGGCGACCTCGGAGCACAATGTGATGAAGCTGCTACATGCTGAGCTGGAAAGTTGTTACTAGCTCCAGATCATCATCCCCTTTCCATTAGCCTCTGGGATTTTTTTTTAATCAGTCCATCTTATCTTTTAATGATAATGTGCAAAATATTTAAGGTCTAGTGCTCCAGGTGGGCATGGGCGCACGTGCTGCGTCCTAATGTGCTGTATTTTTTACATTTCTCTAAAAAAATTCTGGCTCAAAAACAATTGAGGAATTCTAGGTCACTTTACCTGTTCAGCATCAGTTCCTTCACTTTAAGATGAAGACTAAGAAGGGCCAGTTAAAGACAACTATGCAGTTCCCTGACTCTGGAGCGGGTTCCATAACTGCAACTAAAGCATGAGTCTGGGAGGGCATCTTTCACGCAGCCAAGAGCTACAGCTCAAAGGCTAGGAATCCAAGGGCAGGAAAGCTGAATGAAGCAAGATGGTGATCCCTCTCTATGAGGCTCATCGCAAAATACAAATGCCAAATACACCCTTAAGGATCAGCAAACAGAAAACATTGTGGTAATAAGTTCACACAAGGAAAGCGGGACTGTCATCATTTTATAAAGCACCAGAATCACAAACAGAAAACTAAAACCGAGCTCCATGTGAAGGCCGAGCTTCTATAAAACAGTAAATAAAAACAAGCTCGTCAAGTTCACCCACACTCCCGGCCACAAGACCTGACACTTACAGGAAGCAGCCCTATGAATTCAAATAAAGAGCCTGGGGCTGGAGAGATGGCTCAGTGGCTAAGATCACTGGCTGCTCTTCCAGAGGACCTGGGCTTGATTCCTGGCACCCACAACCATCTGTAACTCCAGTTCCAGGGGAATCTGGCACCTTCTTTTAGAACCTAGGGACACGAGGCACACACAAAGTGCAAAGATACACATGTAGGCAAAAAGTGATATAAATAAAACTTAAAGTAGAAACAAAAATTTAAAAAAAATTGTTTTCTCAAAGCTTTCACTATCTATTGACTATTATTTTAAATATATGAGCCAAGGAGTGGTGGAACATGCCTTTAATCCCACCACTTGGGAGTCAGAGACAGGCAGATCTCTATGAGTTCAAGGCCAGCCTGGTCTACAAGAGTTAGTTCCAGGACAGCTAGAGTTGCACCGAAAAACCCTGTTTTGAAAAAAAAGAGAAAATCCAAAAACAACCCCCTCAAAAAAACAAAACAAAACAAAAAAACACAAAGTATTTGGTATGTAGTGTTTCACTAGGAAAGATAGAAATAAGGAAATAGACGGCATGTCCCTAACCACAGGGAACACAGTACAACATGCACAAGAATATAAGCCAAATAATCATATAGTAGAAGTGTATCCTGTTTGTGCACACTCCTGCATCACTAATAATCATACAACAGAAGTGTGTCCTGTGTGTACACACTCCTGCATCACTAATAACCGTACAACAGAAGTGTGTTCTGTGTGTACACACTCCTGCATCACTAATAATCATACAGCAGAAGCGTATCCTGTGTGCACACACTCCTACAACACTTGCTTTGGAATTTGAATCACACGCCCACAGAACATCACTGGGCCACTCCTCAAGTTTATGTCATGCATATTTGATTGCATCTCAGTGGTTTTGATTTCTTAATTTTCAAAGTGATCCACAACTGGGTTAAAGAGTTAATAAGACTGTGTTACTACTGGCCTAGAAAAATTATATTTAATATTAGGTGATTCCTTTACAATTAGAAAATGTTATTAGAAAGATAACATTCCATAATACAAAAACTGATTTCCTCTTAACTAAGAAATAAATGGTAACTACAGCATACAGACACAAGCACTGTCAATCAAGCAATGTTCCAGCCTTTACATAGACTTATTTATCCTCACTGTTTAACTGATTTTATCCAAAAAAAAAAAAAAAAAAAGAAGCTTAAACTTTTAAGCTAAAAAGATGTACTACCAGTAGCCCTAATTTTAAGATGAGTAAACACCGGGAATTTAAGTAACGCGTCTGTTATCACAACTCTCCAAGCTTCTTGGTTGGTGGGGACACACAAAAACATCCCGTTTTCTGAGTGACGTTCTCACCTTACATTCTTCATTCAGGATGAAAACAGGGGTGCAGGTGAAAGCACCACGTTAATAGCGATGTAGTGGCCTTATTTTGTTGACTAGTAACTCCATAAGCCAAACTGACGACTTATAGGCATAAGCCCTTAAATAGCTTATTATTTTTCCACATCTAGGCTCACACAGACATGAGAGCACACAGACACAAAGGGTGTTTGGCTGCTCATGACTGGGAACAATTTATATGCCCTCCAGGGAGGATTGCTAACTGTATGTTTTGTATTTCTCCAAGGGAGAATAATGCTGTAAAGCTGCCTGAAAGAGTAGGGTGGTGTGTTCAAAGCTCCTGTTTACTGAAAATGGTTTTTTATATAGATTAAATTGCTGTATCAAAATTCTTTGTTCAGATTTTGAAATATTTCGAACTCTAGAATATTTGCACACATATAAAGAGCCATCTTGGGAGCAGGACCCAAATTTAAACACAAAAATCATTTATAGTCCATATATATTTAACACAGAGAAACTGAAGGCAATTTTATACAGTATTTTTAATCATTTGAGGTGAAGTTTCACCGCAATGAATTTCCTACTGTTAGCATAGGAAGACTCACCAAGCTTTACTTTTGAGCCCTTCGTGTTTCAGACATTAAGACTAGAGATGCTGTATAATATTAAGTGGCAAAAAGATGTATTATGACTCACTTGAGGCGAAGTATGTATTACATATGTGCTTTAGCAGTCAGAACGTCTCTTAGGAGCAAATTATTTACCTTGCTGATTTCTGGAGTGGGGAAAGGTGACAGAGGTAAGAGGGCAGAACTGGGCTTACATTATTATCCTTTGGTTTTGAATTTACTTTAATCAAAAGCGCATATAGCTGATCCTAAACTAACTAAAATGAGAATGACTATTATGGGGGGAGGGGGAAATGTACCTTAGCAACAGAGCGGTTGCCTAGCAAGCATTAGACCCTGGGTTTGATTCAGAGCCCTTAAAGGGGGAGGGGGTCTTAGGCAGCCCAGCCTATTACATAACAAATGGTATGTAATAATCAGAAGTCTCACAAATAACTTATTCCTAATAGGTAACCAAGAAAAATTAATGATATTTTGTAAAAAAAAAAAAAAAAGAAAGAAAGAAAGAAAGAAAGAAAGAAAGAAAGGGAAAGGGGTAGTATCAACATCTCTTTAATCTAAATGAGCGGGGGCGGCAGGAAAAGAGAGGTGAACTTTAAAAGTCAGTGAGAAAGTTAAAAAGGAAACCTTCTAAAGATCATTATTTTTAGAAAGGGCTGGCTATATTACAGTAAAATGAAAAGTCCACACCCCAAAAGCGTGGGAATCCTCAGAAATGCCGACAATTGTCTTGGGAAACCAAGGAAGCATCTTCTATGTGATCTTCAAATTCTGTTGAGTTGGGCCATATTTTTTGTTTCTTAATTCCCTTAATTTGTATCTTATATTTGTATAAACATATGTGGCATACTTACAGAGGTATTCACACTATCTAAAATAAACATAAGATATACTCAATAAACATAAAATAAATATACTTAGGAGAAATAGGCTCAAAGTGTTTTACCTATAGCATATGCAATTAAAATTGTTCAGGAACAGTGAAGTCAAATGTAACTGGAGCTAAGAAGGAAGCATCAAACGGTCTTTCTAGGATCAAGGAAGTAAAAGCAGTGTTATGAACACACTTCGCTTCAAGTCGGGGCCTCCTGGAGGCAAGAGTTCTACCATTTGGGTATACTTTTAGCCCCTGAAATTTTTGAGTTATTTTCCATTCCCCCCCCCCCCACCACCTATTCCAAACCGTCTCACTTTTTCTAACAGAACATTTCCGGAACCTGACCCTATACAGCCCTTCCGACCATCCAATCCTTATTAACTCATGTTCTGGAAAGAACTCTACACTGTTAGAAACTCTTTCGCTGTCACCGTGCTCAAATCTGGAAAGTCGTCCTTTGTGTGCTTGGAGAACTTCCAACTATCTCCCAAAGTGAACTTGTTTATTATTCATGATTTTAAATATCTGTCCCACCCTCGAAACGGTCCTCTCTCCACAGACCAACTGCAGCGCTTTAAATACAGCAGGCAAATACTTTCTCCAGTCACCTAGGGCCCACCCTCCTGTTCTCCTGCGACGCAGCGACAAACACACCCCCACACAGCCAACCCCAGGTTTTTTCCTCCAGAACTCCCTATGAGGTTCCTTTTCCTGCGAACACCTCTGACTCCTGGATCAACTCTCCCTCCTCATCTTCCCAGCCCATTAGTACCAGCAGGATCACGCGTGGGCCTCCGACTGCGGCAACAGCGTTGTCCTTACCTAATCTGACTCCCGCCGCCCCCGCGGGGCACAAAGTTTGTTCAGGCCCCGAGCTCAGGGCTGGGGCAGGCTCCCTCCCCGCGTCCTCGGCTGCGTGCCCAGGCTGGCTGCCACCGGCCGCTCGGACACAGGGCCGTGCACGCAGGACTGGCCGGCTCGCCCGCCTCCGGGGTTCCCCGGGGAGAAAAGGCCCTGCGGGCCGCCCGGGTGTCTGTGCTCCCGGGCCGCGTACGGCGGCGGCCACCCGGCTGCAGCGAAGCCCCGAGGGGCGGGGCGACCGGCTGAGCGCAGAAGCCCGGTGTCCCCTGGCCAGCGATCCGCGGCGGGGCGGATGTGGAGCACCCCGCGAAGCCTGCCGACCACACTCACCTGTAGGTGGGCGCCATCCGCAACGCCGGCCGCCCCCACGCCCGACCTAAGCCACATCAGCTCGGGAATCCCAAACTCAGCGAGCGCCTCAGCCGGGGCGCCCCTGAACCACAACCACTCTCCGTGGGACGGAAGACCGGACTGAGACTTCTGCTTCTCAGAACCGCGCACGGGCCGTTACCATGGCGACCAGACACGCCTGGTTTGTAACCTACTGTGTCACAATGGTAGACACCAATCGATGCCCTAAAACCTTCCACTTCTTCAAAGACGGAACCAAGGGGTTCTAAGGAGGAGAGGCATGGCGGATGATTATGTGTTGGGGTGTGACCCGAAAAGAAGATCCAAGAAGGCCGGGTGATGCCAAGAGGGTGGGTGTTCTGCCAAGATCAGGTGTTTGCTGCGTAGATTGGGAGTTCCGGTTTCCCCTAATTTCTTACGTACTGCTGTTCCTGCTAGAGATTATGGCCCAGGCTTTTGAGGAGATTTTGGACTATATGGGCACCAGCTGCAAATATTGGGATTTGTGTGAGACCAACCCGGAGTAGAGCCTGAGACTTGGTTTAGTATGGCTTTTTAACTTTGTGATAAAAAAAAAAAAAATGAGAACCAGAGACAGGGCTAGTCAAAACAACAGCAATTTAGCAACGGTCGGACGCCACAAGGCATCCTTTGCTGATATCGCTCAGGATGTGAGTTTAAGAGACAGTGAAGATCTGGAAGGTGGCGCTTCAGCTGGGATAAGCAGACAGATTTAAGGGCTCAGGCTCTGAGAAGAGTCACTGAGGAGCTCCAACAAGAGACAGATAGCGCTCGTCAAGTACTCCTTCACCTTAAAAGGCGGGCAGGAGGCGGAGGGTGAGGACACCTAGCCAACTCCTATGACTTCAGACATTCTTCGTAAGAATGTTACTATGAATTTATGGAATCTCATTGTACACCAAGCACTCAGCTAGCCCACTATATTTGCAATCTCGTCCTAATGATCACACAATCTTGAGGCTCAAATAGTAGCTCAGTAGGGTATCTCTTAGCTGCTTATTTAAAGTTGTATATTTACTATATATATTTGCCACCTAACATAACTATCTTCTTGCCTTATCACAGTTTATTGTATGAAATCCTGGGGTTTTTGTCTCTCTTGATCTCAGTTGTATCTCCAGGTCCCAGAATAGTACACAGGAAATACTAAATGTCCCTTGAAGCAATATTATGTGTGACTATCTTTAATTTAAATGCAATATAATAAACTTCAAAACACTGGTTTATACAAGGTGTTTTGGGGAGAGACAGAGCCAGGATAAGAGGTGAATTTTATCTCTTTGTATACATACCTACATTTAGCCTTAGATCTTTCAGTTTTAAGGTCTCTCCTTACATAAGTTATAAAATTATCCAGCAAGCATGGCCCTACCTTCTCTTGGGTGGGTCCAGACTGGTCATTCCCAGAGAACTGGAGTGAATACAAAGGGAATGGAATGAGGAAATGTGGAGAGGTTGGAGCTGAGCTGAGCTCCTTAAAAGCTCCTTCAAACATCATCATTGAAGGATGGGAATGGTTTAAAACGTAACCCAGCTGCAGCACACTGACTCTGAGAGATTGACAGGGATGGAAAACAGTAATTTAGGAATTATCCAGGTGTGTGACACCTGACTTTAATCTCAAACAAGCCTTTAATCCCGACACTTGGGAGACAGGCAGGCAGATCTCTGAGTCTGAAACCAGTTTGATTTACAAATGGCGTTCCAGGCCACTCTGCAGCTATGGAAACTTGCATACTATCTCTCAAGCTTGTCAATACGCCAGGATGGATGGAGGAGCACACGAGGCCTCTGTAGGCCCATATTTCCTACATGGTGTGACAGCAGGCCCATATTTCCTACATGGTATGACAGCCAAGTTCCCGGACCATGGTTGGTTTCCAAGGCAGCTACCATCCTGCCAGACAACCTGTGGCTACCTAACAAAAGGCTCAGGACTGACTGCTCCTACTCTTTTGTTATTATGTAGATCACCTGGGAAGAGGTGTGAGTTCCAAGCTGGTGACTGAGTTGCAGGTGTGACTGTCCTCCTGCATCCACCCCCACCCCAAAAGAGAATATTAATGAGCTTCCACCTTGGTTTACCTGGGGGAAACCAAATAAAAGATGTTTGGATAATAAACGCGGGTGGTCTTCAGGAATGAATGAAACCTGAGACTCCCTTCCAGTATTGCTGTGTGAACTGTGTCTCAATTTTTCCCGTACCTCCGCATGGTTCCAGAGAGGGAAAAGTAGCTTATCTTGGGGCATCGGACCCCTACAGGCCTCACTTCTCACTAAATAGCTGCTTGCAGTTAATGCCTGTTGGGGAAGGGCGTCAATATTTTTCAGGGATGTCACCATTAGTAAGTTATCCGTGATTCAGGAAGCATAATCTCTCACCCATGCACATACAGGCAACCCTAATTAAACTCAGTGGTTTCATTGTTTGTATTTTAAAGACAGCAGGGAGTTGCTGGAGAGTTTTTAGAGGGTCAGGGAGGGGGATAAAAGGTGAGGGTGTTCCTGATCAAAATGCATTACATAGTGTAGGAATGAAAGAATAAAAAGTTTTTAAAAGACAGTCTCACTCCTCTGAGTTCCTCTTACTCAGTTCCCTTCCCCTTGGCAGTTATTTTCTCAAAGTCCCCTTCATCTTCTTCTATACCAAATACAGACACCCCAAACTTCCTTTGGCCTTGTTTGTCATCCAGATGTACTTCCAGATGTACCTTCAACTAAAACTTATCAAAATATTTGTCAAATATATAATTTGCATGTAAGTATATCACATGTATATTGTATGCCGTATATACCACAAGTATAATCTGTACCAGTGAGTCATATAATCTTATGGATTAGAAAAGAAAGTGGCCAACTAAAAGTTTTCAACTTTTTTATTGAAAACATTGTAAGAGGATGGAGACAGCTGAGTCGTTAAGAGCACTTGCTCTTGCAGAGGACCCAAGTTAGGTTCCGAGGACCACTGTCTGGTGTCTCACAGCCCCCTGTAATTTAAACTCTGGAATCTGACACCCTTTTCTGGATGTTTTATGCACAAACCTCCACATGGTCATATAGATACACTCTCATACAAAAAAAAAAAAGAAAGAAAGAGAAGAAAAGAAAAAGAAAACAACAACAACAAAAAACCCAGTAATTGAACTTATTTTCCATTATCACTTCTAAAAGGAAAGATAGCTAAGCATGGTGGCATGTCTCTAGTCCCAGTATTGGGAGGCAGAAGCAGGTCGAACTCTGTGAGTTTAGGCCAACCCAGTCTAGTGAATTCAAGGCTAGCCAGAGCTACATAGTGAGACCCAATCTTTAAAAAAATGCATTATTTGGGGGGACTAGAGAGACACCCAATGATTAAGACTGACTGCTCTTTCAGGACTCAGGTTCAGTTCACACATCCACATGGCAGATCACAACTTTCTGTAACTCTAGTTCCAAGGGATCCAGTACCCTCACACAGACACACATGCCAACAAAACACTGACACACATAAAAATAAGTTTAAAATACATTATTTTTACTAAAATGTATAAACTATAACCTACTGTTTCCCTCTGCTATTTCTCTGGTTTTTCAGATAAGGAAATGTCCTTTAATGACTGCCTTTTTCTAAACTTTGTCAAGGTAAAAAAATACAACGGTAGTAATAATAATAATAATGGAAATTCGGAATAACAAATGTGAAAAATTGAAATAATCCTGACAAGTTTTTCAGAAACACAATGTTTATTTTTAAAAACAACCTTTGTTAGAAAACAGAAATGAAATTTCATATTTCATGTCAACAATAGAATTTCACACTGAGTTCTGTCCCACAATAAAGCCCACAAATCTGTTTGTGAATAGAAAGAGACAGGGTATACAGAAAGAGGAAAAACCTGGGACCAAGGTAGGCAATTCTCTGTTTGCTTCTTCCAAATGTTACATGATGAATATTCTCTGGAAAGGCACTGGTAGCCCTAGTCTTCCAGCATGCCAGAGGCAAAACTAGCAATCTCCTAAAATGTAAGACTGTTGATTTTCACAGTTACCCTCTGGGGGTGGGGGGGTTGTTCCACCAATAAATAAAGTTCCTAATTCTATAGGAATTGATTTCCTAATTGATTTGGAACATCAATCTCGTCGCCTGGTTCTTCTCCAAGCTTCTTCCACCAAGGTGCTTGTATGTGCTTCAGGGTGGTGAGATGGGCCTGTTTGGCCTTGGCTGCCACAGGCCTAGATCTACTTAGGAAGTGCTCAGGTCCTTTCCTTCTGCCTCCTTCAGACTTGGTGCCTCTACAGCAAACAGACCAAATGGTTAGTAGAAGTATGTCAGGCAAGCAGCAGCCTAGCAACAGCAGAGCTGGGCCCATCTACAGTCAGGAACAGGACAGGGTTTCAGCTCTGAATGTGTTGCCACTGCTGACTATGACGGTCGGTGTCTAGCCAAAAGTTGCAGTTGTGAGTGGCAGCAACAACCCCAAACCCTTGGCAACTTCCAGGCTTGGGAATTACAGGGAGACAAAGGAAGGGAGGGCGGGAGGGAGGGAGGGTAGAAGGGAGGAAGGAAGATACTTCTAAAATACTCAGTAGAAAGAGGGGAACTGAGAATGGCTAGAACCTTTTGAAACCTCAAAACCCATCCTCAGTGGCACAGCTCCTCCAAGTAAGACACCCCATATAATCCTTACTAAAGATTCCACGAACTGGAATACAAATTTATGGGAGCTATTATCACTCAAAACACCACAGTAGTTGAGTAGTATCTAGTATGTTGGAAATAATTTTCGGGACTATAGTGGTTTGAAAGAAAATGTCTCTCAGAGTGGCACTGCTAGAAGGTGTGGCTTTGTTGGAGTAGGTGTGGCCTTGTTGGAGGAAGTGTGTCACTGTGGAGGTGGGTTTTGAGGTTTCCTAGTCTGAGGATACTGCCCGGTGACTCCTGCTGCCTGCAAGCTGTAGGACTTTAAGCTATTTCTCCAGCATCATGTCTGCCTGCATGCTGTCATGATCCCCACCATGGTGACAACAGACTGAACCTCTGAAACTGTCTACAATGCAATGTTTTTATTTATCGGAGTTGCCATGGTCATGGTGTCTCTCCACAGCAATAAAAAACCAAACTAAGACAAGGACTCTTCTCAGTTAATGAACGAACATGTTAGATACAAGACAAAAATGAAGTACTACTGATCTCAGTGAATAAACTTCCTGCTCCGTTCTGTTACTCAGTACTTGCTACATCCTATAGCTTCTTGTCCATGATTACAGAATCCAAAACCTTCTGTCAATTAAAGTTTGGGAAAGTTGTTTGTTTTGTTTCCCTTTTCGGTTGGTAATTATTTTGCTTGCGTTTTCTGCCTATTTGTGTTTTCTTTATTTTGAAATATGTTTGTATACAATATGAACAGAAAGGGGGAGGGATCTTTTATGCTCTATGATCAGTGCCAGAAATTCTAAAAGTTCTGAATTCAGGATGGTTTGGAGCAGAACAGAACCAGAGTGACTCCAAACAGTTCTAATCTTTGGCATCTCCGAATGAGCCAAGATGCTGGGGTTGATGATATCGTTGCCACTGCCTATTAGGCACGGACCACATCCAAGACAAACACGCACTCTTTTAACTCTCCTCATCGTTGTCTACAATAAGCATGGTGTTATTTTATACATAGTTTGCATAGCTGGGGTTTAAATGTTCAAATCATGCCCAGATTTGAACAGATTATTTTCTTTGTAAAGTACTGTCTTTCCAGATTCCAAAATTCTGATTGTGTTTGTGTTACAGTCAGTATGACTCTGGACCCCAACACAGCCCATCCTGACCTAGCACTGTCTAAAGGTCAAAGACAAGTGACTTACAGACAACGCCACAAGAATCTTGAGGCTTCTACCAAGAGATTTTCTGTTTTACCCTGTGTCCTGGGCTGTAAGGAATTTACTTCAGGAAGATAATACTTCCAAGTGTCTGTTGAGAACACAACCTCTTGGGATGTGGAAATCTGCGTAGAGGATGTGCCAAGGGGCTTTGACATGAAGAAGGAGCCTGAGTTTGGATTCTGGACCATAAGAATGTGTGAAGAGGGTGGGCTTGCAGCCCTCACTTCCACCCCTACTCCCCTTCACCTGAGTGAGAAGCCACAGCTCGTGGGAGATTTTCTAGACTATGAGACTGGAGTTGTAACCTTTTACAATGCAACCAGTGGTTCCCATATCTTCACCTTCCCCAAGGCTTCCTTCTGGGATACTCTGAAGCCCCTTTTCCAGGTTTATGAAAATACTTCTTTGTTTCTGCCTGGCAGAATTGATCGAGGGAAGAGGTAAAGTCCCCATGGTGTAAGTAGCACAGAAAATGCATAAATCCCATAAGGCAAAAACTTGGATGTTTTTCTTCATTGCTATTCCAGTGCTTTTAATAAACTTTCAATAAATGTGCTCTGATTTGATTGATGGAAAGGGTAAAAATACCATACATGGCCAGTTTCAGTGAGACGAAAGCAAAATAATAGTAGTGATTATATATTTTCTTCTCCTTCCCTTTTGTACAGTGGTTCTCAACTTTCCCAAGGCTGCAGCCCTTTAATACAGTTCCTCATGATGTAGTGACACACAATTATAAAATTATTTTTGTTGTGACTTCATATCTGTGATTTTGCTACTGCTATGAATCATAATGTAAATATTTTTGGAGATAGTGACTTGCAAAAGGGGTACTGACACATTTTGAGAACTACTGCCTTTTATGGGTCAAAAGTTTGAGTCTTACATTGTTGTTTTCAATGTGCATCTAACTCTTGTGTGAGAGATGAACTAATGGCGGTGTCTTTTTTGAATAAAAGAACAAAAAACTGAAAATAATATCAACTTAACCCTTGTTCTTGCTGTTGCTATTATTTTTGGTTTTTTTTCCTGACAGGACACAAGAGCCAAAGCTGTGTGAAAGACCATTTGGTATACCCTAGCCAGACCACCACATTAGAAAGAAGTAGACTATAGCATATTAAAATAACGCTTTCAAAATGTGTTGAGATGTGAGTGATTCTAAACCTACTGTGCGCACGCGCGCGCACACACACACACACACATCGTGGTGGTTGGTATCCATGTTTCATTCCTCCTGTGAAAAAGATGCATTGGGACTGAAAAAAATATTTTATAACATTTTATTCTACAATAAGCAATATACTTTGCATGAGCTTTTGAGAATATATTTTTCTGTTTCCTAGAAAATTCCATAACTGTATTTCTCTTTTTCCATCCTCCCTTCATAGTTTACCTAGTACTCCTTGCGTAGCTTCACCATGCTGTTAGCTAATATGTTGACCAGTAGATGGCAGTCATGCATTTTTGGTGACTCTGGTCATGCAACTCTGCCTTTAATAAAACATACTTCTTGGACCAAGATCAAATAAACGTAAAATTCATCTTGTTCTTAGTGATTATTTTAGATAATTTAAGTCAACAATATTTTTTGTGTGTTTTTCATTGGTGTTACTTTTCATTTTTGCTCAAGACAGTGTCTCACGGTGCAGCCTGGAACTAGTTTTATAGACCAGCCTGACTGTGAACTCACAGAGCTCCAATGGCCTGACTCTGCCTCGTGGGTGCTAGAAGTAAAGGCATGCACGGTACACTTGGCAATAATATTAATTATTTTTATTCAAATCAATTTTTTTTCTTTTAGATAAGGTCTGACTGTATACCAGGTTGTCCTGGAGTTCACTATTATATCCCAGGCTGGCTGCAAATGATAGAAGTCCTCCTGCCTCAGCCTCCCAAGTACTGAGTGCTGAGATTACAGGTATGAACTACCACACACAGCTATGATTTTATTGACTGGTCAATTGATTTTAGTTTTTAGAGAGAAGTTCTCATATAGTTCAAGCTGACGACAAACTCACTAGGTAGCAGATGATGACCTTGAACTTTTGATTCTTTTGCATCTGGCTCTTGAGTGCTAGAAGGAAAGAAGGCACCACCACTTCCAATTTACGAGGATCTGGTGGTCAAGTCGGGGGCTTCATACACGCTAGGCAGGCATTCCACCAACTAAGTTATGGTATATCCCTAGGCCCCTTGATGGTTTTAACCTGAAAAGAGCCTTGGATCTTATTAACTATTCACTTCTATTGATTTCTTTTAATTCAGTAAATAATCAACCTCATTAGATTCATGTTTCATCATCCCATGGGATTCCTTGGTAAATCAGCTCTCAAAGTTTTGTGGTGTCATTCAGATTTCTTCTGTGTGGATCATTCAGTGACCCTTTAGGGCTCTTAGTGGCATTCCACCCACAGTTCATTTCTCAATGACTGCAGTGAACCATTTAGGGTAAGAGTGGGGTTCCAGACAGTTCACCATTCCCTGATGGGCACAGAAGTACAGATTGGTCCTGTGTGTGTGTGTGTGTGTGAGAGAGAGAGAGAGGGGGGGGGGAAGAGACTGGCTGTATTTCCCTGCTTCCTTCCTCCTTCCCTTCCTCTCTCCTTCCCTCCCTTCCTTTCTTCTTTTCTTTCTTTATCTCACTGTAATTCCCAAGCAACCACATCCTTAAAATTTTAGTGAGAAGAAAGATCATCTCAAATCAAGGGAACTGTCATCTCAAATTTGTGTTGAATGTTCATCCCTTTTGTTTTTTAAGAGAATGGTGGGCTTTTCCAATTATTTATGGATTATTGGTTTAAAAGTGACATAAATCATGGAAGAGAAAGGAGTGGACATTTCTCTTTTCCTCTGGGCTTAGTCTATGGGAACTTTCCTCCTTCCCAGGGCTGCTTAGAGCAAGCAGGGAGGGGATGCTCACTTGGGGGAACTATTTCCCCCTCCCTGTGTGCATTCCACTTAGATGGCAGGAGGGGCTTGATAAGAGGTTCAGTCATTCCTCATCACACAAGAACCAACCCTGAGTGTAAACAGGAGTCAAGACACAAACCAAGCAAGGGATCCTGCTCCTGAAAGGGTACAGATGGAGAGGTTTGTTTGTTTGTTGTTTTTGTTGTTGTTTTTGTTGTTGTTGTCGGTGGTGGTGGTGGTGGTGGTGGTGGTGGTGGTGGTGGTGGTGTGTGTTTTCTCTGGCCCCCTGGCAGAGTCAAAAGGATTCAGGTTCCCAATGGGAGGGGGCACCCGTCTTAAGTGGGATGGAGAAAGTGTCTCACACCAGAAAAGCCACCAGGTAGGGTATGTCTTCCTACCTCAAATGATCCAGTCAAGAAAATCCTTCACAGACGTGGCCAGTGTTAATCCTAGTGGTGAGAATAAGATCACTGCCACAGTTCAGAGCCAAATTTGAAGCAACTTTGAAATACTGGCCAGGTGGATAGACTCTGGTCGGGTCCATACCCAGGTTCCTGGGAAAATGGCCCAGAACCAAGCATGACAAGGGCTTAAGAAGGAAAACCCATCATTCATTGCATTCCCCATCAGGTCTAATCCAGGGCAAGCACACATCCTGAAATACCTCCAGCCTGTGAATGTTGTGGGAGTAACTTCCGCTGCCTCAATCAATAGTCGCTGAAATACGAGCCCACAGTGCAGCGGGGAGCGACTTCCGCTCCGTCAGCCAATAGCTGCTGAAATACCAGCCCACTGGGGCGTGGTATATTTCTCTTTTAAAAAGAGAAGCATATCCGGAATAGGCGCTCTTGGTTCCGGCTCTTGGTTCCGGTGCTCGGTCTCGGCTGTTGCTCCCGGCTCCTGCTCCAGCGACTAGGCTCCCTTCCTGACGGTTTATGGTGTATGTAAGTTTTACCCCCCCGCCAAATAAATAACCCCTTAAAACATAACTGGTGTGGGATTGATTCGTTAATATGTGAACCTCCTGCCCACACGTGATCAAGCACATCCAGTGCAGAGGGGTCAAGCAAACTTGTTTAAGGGAGTGAAAAACATGTGGCTTGTTATCTCCCATAAACAATAGTCTGCAGCATTTCAGGAACTCTCTGTCCTTGGGCAAGGGACTTGCAGATCAGAGGCATCTCTGTTTCATGGATCTCTTAGGCTCAGTAATCAAAACTTAAAAGTGTAACCTGGCCTCTCAGACCAGTTGCTTGGGTTTTAATTGATTCCAGATGTAGTCAGGTTGGCAACCAAGATTAGCCATCATATTGTTCTTGCAGAGGGCCTGGGTTCCGTTTCTAGCTCCTGTGTGGTAGCTCAGAACTGCCAGTTACTCCAGTTTCAGGGTGATCCAATACCCTCTTTTTATCTCCTGCTCCTGCACACACATGGTACACATGAACTCATGTGGGCACACACTTATATACTCAAAAAGTAGATAGATAGATAGATAGATAGATAGATAGATAGATAGATAGATAGATAAACAGACAGATCTTTTTTTTCTAAAAAAAACTGCTTCTTTTAACTGATAATCTTTCTGTTCTTGGGTCTCCTTTGCCATATGCCTGTGGTCTGCCTTATTTTTTCTCCAAGCCTGGATAGTCTTGCTTTTATTTTTACTTTTCCTTTAGAAAGACATGGGCACACTAAGGAAAAAAAAAAAAAAACAACCTGATGGCATCACTTTCTGAGTTCCTTAGATGTCTGCTTTTTATGGTTTTCTATGTAACTGGCTCTAGGCTACAAATTTAAAAGGACCAAAGAGGGAAAAGTATATTAGAGGTCTGGCCTACAAAAGAGCCTTGCAGAATCATCATATTATTCTGCAAGAGGATGTCTTTGTAAGAGCGAACACTTACTAAGCTTTTCAAGTTGTCTGCCTTCACCTACACACATACACACACACACACACACACACATATACACACACACATACACACACACATACACACACATACACACACACACATACACACACACACATACACACACACACACACACACACACACACACACACACACACACACCTGACTATGGATCTGTAGATCACTGGGTTCGGTTTCAAGGAGATTTTTAAATAATCTGATCGAGGCTCTGCCACAGATATAGGCCTCACATCAGGCTGAACCATGGGCACTCATTTAAACAGGAAGCTACGGATGTCATCCTGTGGCTCCACCACACCTGTGTAAAGGAGCATTGCCTGAGGAGGGAGAGACCGGGACTGTGAGCGTCCATCCGGGCAGTCTCCCTGACTCACCTTCCAGAGATGGCAGAGGCAGCTCTTCATCCCAGCTCCCTCTGCAAATCTGAAGCTTGAAGAATTCCACAAGGGACATGTGGAGACAGGGATCACCATGGCCCCTCCCCTCGCTGGATTTATGATAATATTAGCCATAATACTTCTACAGGGAGAGCCATGATGGCTCCGCAGGACTAGAGTCTAACACAAACATTTTGTTAGCTGTGTTGTATCTGAAAATTTTAAATTTGTAACAGTTAAAGTATGTCTGATTACTTTAACAAATTGTGGCTGGTTATGCTTCCAAACAAGGTTAGTCCTTGTAGATGATAAAAAAAAAAATATTTTCCTAAAAGTGAAGAGAGCCCTACAACTAGTAGCTACTGAAAATATGTTGTTTGGGTTATATCCCATTCTGAGTAAAAAAGTGCTGATATGTTAACTAATCAGGAGTAATCCAAACTGCAGTATATTGCCTACAAAGGGTGGGCCTAGAGAATTCCTTGAATTCTTGGAGCAGCTACTGTACTTGGAAAGTTTGGCTAGACCTTGGCAGGACCTTTTCTTCTGATCATTCTGACCACACAGTTTGAACTGTTTGGCCCAGTTTGGTACCTCTCAGATGGAGGCCACTGAAAAGCTCCAAATGGTTATGGCCCCAGAGCCAAATTATCAAGTGGCAAAACAAGAGGCCTGTGAAAGTTCAGTTCCTGACACAGATTTTTTTTTTTTTTTGAGAGCTGGACAACTCACCTTTAATATGTTGACAAGCCCAGTCAGCAGGCCAGTGCGCACTAGAGAGACTTGGTCCTGGTCTAGTTACGTTTACAGGCTCTAGGGCATCGTTTTGAGTCTCTTTTATTGTTGTTTTTTTTTTCCTTTTTTTTAATTGAAAATACTTTTCGTGCAATATATTTCGATAATGTTTTTCTCTCCCCCACTTCCCCCCAGATTTTAAATTGGACCTGTATCTTAATAGCTCCAACCAAAAGGAATAACACAATAGAAACCTGAAATAAAACTGATGCTGTAAAGGCTTTACAAACAGACTCTCTTAGGACATATTAAGTTACATAAAGTAGAATTCAGCTAAGGAGTGCTGCCTCTGATATACTGGGAGATAAGTAATGCACAGGTCTGTTAGAAACTACAGGAAAGAAAATCTTGTGCCACAACTGAAGTTTAGGGTTGTTGTTAGGGTATTTGAGAAAACGCGATGCTTGTTCATCAAGATTGACCCCCGCTTAGGCTCCAGTCCCTGAACAACAGGCGAAAAGCTTGACTTAGAACCAGCCATGAGGCCCATCCCCATATCAAAGAACAAGCCTCTAATGGGCATCTCAAGAGGGGTTGTGCAGGGTGACAATCATGATTAAATCAAGTCCTGGTCTGCTGCTAAGTCCCCTGTGCTCTTGTCAGAAGAATCAGTTCAGCCAGGTGGGCAAGAAAGAACTGGGTAGCAACTATACAGAAAAAAAAAAAAAAACAACAATGGCATATTTCAGAAATCATTCTGGCAGTATCTTTGCTGTGTAAACATCCCACCTGCCCAAATCAACAAACTTGTAGCCTCCCATCTCTGTTTAAGTCATTCAAAGTGGAACCTGGGACTGGGACCTCATGGAGGTTTAAGGATAAGAGTGTATGTGGACAGTGCAGACCCAAAGTCTCTGTTTGTTCGAGACTGATTCTTTTTTGTGTGTCAACCAGAACCAGTTGCATGCATTCTTAAGGAGTCTTTTCCTTTGTCAGTCTGTGAGTGGGGTGAGTTCTCACGGGGAAGGCATGTTAACTCCGGAACAGTGTCTGCCAGACACCACTGGACACAGCACAGACTGAAGCAGAAACACAACTGAGAAATCAGCCATGAGAGTCACAGAATTTAGCCCAACGCTGGCTCCTGAGCAAAGACTAACAACACCCAAGTAAGGATGAGGACAAAGCCACGGAAAATGTTACTGAGGCTCCACACAAGGCCTTTCCTTCTGTGACTGAGGAAAAATATCTGTTACTTGGTTACCAACTAGCAGAAGGGGGAAATAAATTGAGATTACTATAGACTAAGATCTCCAAGGTCACCAAAAATGACCTCAGATTCACAGTTATTCCGGGGGGGATTCATTTAGCAGGAAAGCACTAATCATTTCTAGAAGTTTAGGTCATGAGAATTTTGGCTGCACCCTCCCTCCCTGTGGAAAAGCTGTGAGCGATTGTATCTCATCACTCCAGGCATGAACGTCTGCTTGGCTTTGCCCAGCCTCACATCTCAAGCGCTTCCAGCAACATCATCAGTCCTAAATGTCAAGAAGAGACAAGAGAAAGCCAAGCCAAGGTGAGGTCCACTAAGAAAAAAGGAGCTCTCTGACTTGAATGCCACGGCAGTGAGAGACAGTTAAAAGTTGTCATGGAGAAACAACACAAGAAAAAGCTTTTTGTTCAGACAATGTAAGAATCAATGGAGAGACAGCACAAGACAGTGAAATGGAGCAAAAGAGAAGCCAGAGTCACCTGTGTCTCCTGCCCAGGATATTCGATACACTCATGACTTGAGAAATCAATGTGCTTGGTTCCACAAACTTTTTGGCTACTATTCTCTCAACTATTTCTCTTCTCTGCATGTGGACCCACCCATCAGTGGCATTCAGAGCTCTCTGTCTACTGCCTCTGACTCTCTAATTCATTTTGCCATTTGTCTCTGCCTGCATGCTGAGTATGTTCTTCCAATTACTCCTCCACTGTCCTAAGATGGTGTTCTTTCCCACAGAGTCATCTCATCAGCCCTCAGAACTTAGAATCACCTTTTGTTGCTTAGTCTTCTAACTGAAAAAGAAAGTTACTTTACTAGTTCCCAAGGTAACCAGTAATCTGCCATATATAAACATGCACAAATGGACACACACACACACACAAACACACACACGCATACACACACAGAGTCTTTGGAAAAACATTTAAAAAATATTAGACCCTTTATATGCATTTATTGTATTTACTTTATTTACTACGTTGCTTTCCTTATTTAAAACTACATTGCATTACAAGCATTGTTCGCACATGCTTGCAATTCTAGCACTCCAGATACTGAGGCAAGAGGATCACTGCCTTAAAAACAGGTTGGTGCACAAAACAAAAAAGACTCAAAAAAGAATCTACTGTATTTATGTATGTAAAAGCATCAAATCTACATGATAGATAGTACTCATCCCTCCTTTGTTGGGGTGAGGCTGTCCCATGTCTCCCTTACATGTGTCGCTCACTCTGTTTTCTTTGGGGACTTTAGGCTAACTCTATCATGCCCTTTTGTTTTCCTTTCTTTTAATTCAGTAGCCACTGAATTGTTTATTCAGTGGTTTATTCATTTAGAGAGGGTTAATATTTCATAATATTAAGGGCTTTCCGTCTAAGAACATAGTTTTTGGTTCCCATCTTAGTTACTTCTCTATGCTCTGATAAAACACATGACCAAGGCAAACAGAGAAGAAATGGTCTACTTGTGTTTACAGTTCAGTAGGGTTAGGGTCTATAGTGATGGGGACAACATGGCAGCTGGCAGCAGATATGGTTGCTAGAGCTGGAGGCTGAGAGTTCAAGTCTTAAACTCAGACACTGGAACTGACACAGGATCTGATACTCAAACCTGGCCCTGACATGCTTTTTCCACTAAGGTCACACTTCCTAAGCCTCCCCAAACAGCACCACCCATTGGGGATCAGACATTCAAATCTCTGACGTCTATCATTCAACCCACCACAGTTCTAGTTAGACAGATTTTGCCTTGTGTCCTTTAAGAATTTATTGCTGTTGACTCATACTGTTCAAGTAAGCCATTGCTTGTTCAAGGAACTGTTGCAAATTTTACAGTTTTTGTCGCAGAAAACATTACAGCATTTTTCTATTTTTATTCTGGAAACATCGATTTCTACTATTGGAAACAATCAATTTGCTGAAAAGAATGATCAAATTTCAAGTCAGCTTACCAAATTCCCTTGATGGTTTTGCAGCTCACTCCTCAGTCATGAGAAACCGTACCAACCTTCTATGACTTTGCCCAGGACGGTCCTTTCCCCATGATATTTATTCAGCCTGTGAAGCCAGCCACAGTCCCACCTCCTCCGAGAAGCCTTCCTCGGACACCTCTGTGTTGGCAGGGGTCCTTGTTTGCTCTTTCCAACTACCTTGTGCAAGATTCTGTGGCTTGCGTTCATTGCCCTTCATTGTAGGTGTCTGTCTGTGTACAGCTCCACTCAGTGGACTTTGGGCTCTGTAGCTCATGGGCATTAAACAAATTGATATTCTCAGAAAGTGAGCGCCATGTCTAGAATATACCAAATGTAAAAAGAATTGAGAAGCATTTTAGTTAAACTGATTTCACTGGAGACAATTGTTGACAACAATCCAGAGACACATTCATGTTTAAGACTTGACAAATTCTGTTCCATCATTCTTGTTGTTTATGAATGTTATGCATGTAATATAGTCAAGGTTTTTCTGGTATTGGGTACTAAATTGGGGGCATCCTGCAAGCACTCCACTACTGGGTTATATCTCTAGATTTTACTATGTAGCTCTGAACTCATAAATCTTCTGCCTCAGTCTCCTAAAATCTAAATTGTCTAAATGTGAACCATACTGAGTTTGTCACATGAAAAATCACAGTATGGGTAAGGAGTTTGAGTCAGCTCAAAAAACCTTGATTTTTTTTTCACTGTGAATGTAAGTCAAGAAGTCATTTATCCCATAAGCTACTGTTTCCTGAGCGCACAGTGCCTTATTCTCTTCAGGCTGCTGCAGCACGCCTCTGGAGTGAGCTCCACCCTGCAGACACTTTGATTTTGGCCTAGTTAAACTCATTTTGGAGTAGGGGCTTCTAGAACTGATAAGATAAGCATAGATTACTTTATATACCCCAAGTTTGTAAGTGATCTATAAATACAGTACAAATAGGCAATTATGGCAGCTGGGGAGATGGTGTTGTGTAGCAATATCCTGCCAGATGAACATCCATTTTGAGGGAAGCTCCTTAAGATCACAGAGAAGTGAAACATTCCATGCTGTAGGGGGCCCGCTTTAAATTCAGGAAGTAAACAACTCAAGGACTTCAGGAAGTCCCTGAAACTTACCAGATACATTAGGTCCCACCCTCTCTAAGCATACACACACACACACACACACACACACACACACACACACACACACATATATATTCAGACAAGATAGGAGGATAAACCTGGAAGAAGCTCAGGTCAGCTGAGACACCTGTGCAATGAACTCCAAGTTTCTAGTTTCTGTGAGCTGTCAGCTATGCTGGAGTCGGCCTCTGATGGTGCAGCTCTTAAAAGCAACCCCCTCACCTCTACTCCTGTAAGTAACCCCAATAAAGCTCAGTCATTTGCCAAGTTGGACTTTGGTGGGCTCCTTACTTTGGTCTGTTGTTTGTTCCCTATCTCAGTGAGCAGATCTTTTTCCGCGTCTCCTCCAGGAAGAAGTGTCACACAACAGATGCCTCAGCAGTTAAAAGCACACACCACTCTTCTGGAGGACCTGAATTTGTTTTCCAGGACCCTCATGGCTGGTGGGTCAGTCACAGGTACCTGTAACTTCAGCTCTGGGGGTTTTCAGGCCTTCTTACACACTCAGACACACACTATACATCCACACAAGCACACACACATACATCAATAAAAATAAGAAGGTTAATATAGTTTAAAATTTTTAAAAAATAATTTTAAAAAAATCAATAGAGACCACTCAGACTGGCTAAGGGGCTGTGTCGTAGAGGTTCTTTGGGGGACTATGATGATAAGACTGGGGTCAGAAGCTCAGGGAGGGTTACCAAAAGTAGAGAGGGCAGGTCTCACCTTGTTTTAGGAGGTCCAAGAGGCAAACTAGAAAGACCTGCTGCCATCCACATCCAAGAACCTAAAAGGCACAAAACAAACCCAGGAGTCAGGAGCCAAGAGAAAGCACCTCAGGGGGACAGAGAGAAAAGGGAGGGCGGAAACAGGGACATTCTCAGAGCCACAGTTCATACTGATTCCCTGTGGGCGCCAGAGGCAGGAGGACAGTCCAGTTGATGCCTTGGCAGGAACATCTCATTAAGGCCGTCTACCTGTTAACAGATAGATATCGTCTCGTTTGTCCAAGAACTCGGCTTTATGAACATTTCAAGCCTAGTTTCTTAATGCAAAAGCCAGTTCCAACAGGTGGAGTGCTTTGTCTGTGGACACAGGAACCGCTCCTGCTTCCCACCATGCCACTCAGTTAAATGACTTGTTGACCGAATGACTGTGTGCGCACTTCAAAGCAGAAAAACATAGTGACATCTTTGAAGTATTCACTAGATCAGTGAGAACTTGAAAGTGAAGTTAAAAATTAAGTGGCCAAACCAATTGCAGACTCCCTGTCCTGAGGGCATGGGGTCAAACCTGGCGGTGTCCTGTTCCCACGTGACTCCCTATGTTTCGTGAAGGGAAGGAGAAAAGGAATGCCCTCTTTTCCCAAGTTAGTTTTCTAGTCTAGGGCTTCAAATACTAGTTTAATGGTGAAGGTAAGTGTGTTTCTTCTTTTAAACAGGATGCTAATTACTAAACTAGGAGAGATGCATTCATTAATTTTACCAGCACTCAAAGACACACCAACTGCAGCCTGAGGATCTCCATTTGGAAATGGTGTCCGGTTCCAAAGTGAAGAAGAGGCTTTCTTCCAAAATAATCATCCAAGCCAGACCCTAAGGCTGGAGAGGCCATTGGTGCTGAGGTGGTCAGTGGTCACTAGCCAGTGGAACGTGTGAGTATAGGCTGCGGTATGTGGATGAGTTAGTTCACTTGGCTTTGGCTGTAGAATGAAAACAAAAAATGAACTGACGAGGTTTAGATTTAGGACTGTGATTAGTCTCTTCCGGGTTCAATATACTTGATCTTGGCTCTTCAGAAAATGAGACTGACAAAAGTCTGAATAAGATGAAGATCAAGACACCTTGAATGCTTCTAGAAGGCTTGCTGTCTTATACAGTCAAGAGGTCCCCAGAGAGACTGTGGTGGGTGCCTGCTGTTCGTGGGTGGGAGCCATAGCAGAAACTATTCAGTGAGGATCCCTCTCTCATCCTATCCAGAGGGAATCCCTGGATAGGGATTCAGAAGCGCAGCTCCAAACTGGGAAAAGGGACCGAGTTGTGAGCCCTTGTGGACAGCGCTACAGTTGAAGTATGCTTGGTTTTTTGGCGTAACACTGACTTCTAGAATTTTCCACTTTGGTCCTAGGACATTTTTTTTCTTCTTGCCATAATCTAACTTATAAATGCATTGTCTGAGTAATGTAATAACACATGGATGGCTCATTTTGTTTCAGTCCCTCAGAAAAGTAGAGAGCACACGAGGACTTCATTTACCTAACGCTCTGAGGATTGTTTTCCTCATGTTCTTTAAGGTTTGTGACAAGATAAGCACCCTCTTCATCCATGTTGTAGATTCCAAGGCAGAAGAACTCACATTTTAAAAAAGTTTAAAACCAACCAAACCTTTTATCGGAGTGTTTTTATTTGCTATATGCCTGTATTTGTTCATGGGTCTGAGATGGTCTAACATGGTCTGAGAGGGGACATAGTGGTTGTGACCGATGTTAATACTAGTGACATTTGACAATGTAGAACTCCTTGCAGTGAGTGACCCAGGCACACCTCATATTTTGTTTTCACGCAAACAGTCCTGTGAAGGAATATCGTCCCCTCTTTCCCTCTGAAACAAGGCTCTGAGGGTTTATGAAACTTGCTATGATTTGCGCAGAGTGGAACTCGGGCTCTGAATTGCTGGCTCCTGATATTTGAACAATATGCAACATTTGCTCTGAGTAAACCAGGAGACAGGCTAACAGAATTATGTAAGACAGGTAGATTGTTAGGGAAAATCAAAGAGTATTAGAAACACCATTGCAACCAAATGATGAATTGTAGACTAAGAAGACTAGGATGAAGCCCTTATGCAGCCATAATGTCTATAGCCCCATCACCCTCAAATAAAACCCAATATACACAATCGTAATGCTTGTATTTTCCTTTGCTTCAAGGATTTACAGTCAGATTTCCTTAGAATAACACAGTCTACTGAAAGCATAGTCAGAATCTAAAAGAATCAGAAAGAAAAACAAATGAACAACAAATGCCCACCTCTACCTGATCCCTAGAGGAGGCAGCATTGACAGGAGGAGGCCGTGTGTCATTTCTTGCTTGATGTTCTTCTCATAGGTCAAAGCCTGTCGTGGTGACAGTGACTCAGAGCAGTGGGGATCTCCACCACAGAGTGCACATCATTCCTCCGGAGAAGCAAAATGAATGAGAAGTCAACCACCAGGAAAGGTAAGGCCACTGTCCTCGTTTGCAGGTGGTTGTAGAAGACTCAGTGCCTGGCTCCAGCTCTTTCACCTCTGCCTGCTGTCCTCTCCCTGCCTTTTCTTTATTCTGCTCCTCTGGATGCTCTTAGTGAACTTCTGATCCCATTTCAGCCTCCTGAGGGCTGGAATTAAATGAAACAGACCAAGTCTCCATCTCAAACTGTCACCTTCTACTTTACTGTTAGGAGACACTGTGGGTAAATCTGGCAGAAATTGAACCAAATGATCAATAAATCCTGTATGTAAGGAGTGCAATGAGTTTTGAGCAAGGCATTTTAAAGCAAAGTGTCAACTTAGGAACAGATCCCTGCAGAACACACTTGCCAAATGGCTGGCCACTTCCTCTGAGCTTGGAAACTCAAATTGATATTGAAATAATTCATTTGCAGTTCTACCCCTCAGGCTACGTGGAGATTTCATCCATGTATTTTTCTGTTTCTTCACAGACCCTGTTTGTGTCTCACAACTCTGTTTTCCAAATATGCAGGGGGAAAAAAAACCTAACCCATCAGTCACCTGGAAATCCTGCTAATATGGGACCATTGCTTTTTTTTTTTCTTAATTGGGAATAGATATATAATATTAGTACACACACACTATCTACATATACTGGAAATATGCTAAATGTGTAAATATATACATGTGTGTTATACAGCCAGTGAATACTACTCTGTATCACTTCACCTATAAGTTTGGCAAAATTGTTTCTGCATATTTGTCTGAGAAGCAGAAGAGCCATGAAGGCAAGGTCTAGTAACACACTGGGGAAGTGGAGTCAAGAGAGTGTTCAGTGTACTGTGAATGAAGCATCTGCTCTCAACTGGGCATAGTGGTGAACACCTGCAGTCCCGGTCAGAGGCAGAGCTGGGGTTTCCCTTGAACCTAGAAGCTCCAGGGCTTGGGCAACAGCAACCTTGTCTCAAGGAAAAGAGGAAGCAGAAAACTGGGATAGCAAGGGTGAGAGTTCAGAATGGGAAAGGGGAAGTGGATTATATCTCTGAGAGTTCAAAAGAGAATCCTCAGACAGGAAAGTAGTATCTCTGAAAGGCAGCAGTCAGTGTGTGGTCTCGCCCTGCGAGAAACGAACAAGCTAAAAAAGATGGGCCACTCATTTGTAACTCCCCGCCATGCAGGAAGTTGGCATTTGTGGTTGGCTCTGTCTTGTTTCCCCCAGTCTCTTATTTTGGAGCAGTGTAGCATGAGACCCTTGCATTAAGGTTTTCCCTTTACTCATCATCTGTCTCAAAAAGAAGGCCATATTTGCATGATTCCAAACTCATCATACTCATTGTAATAAAGCTAGCAAAACAACATGGCGATGGAGTTTGGAGGCAATATTATTTTGGTGAAAAGGAGTCATGGGGATTAGCTGGGTGTGATGACGACTGGTCTGTAGTTCTGGCATCATGGAAGGCTGAGGCAGGAGAGACTGCAAGTTCAGGACCTTCATGGCCTTCATGGGTTACAGAGTAAACCCAAAGCCAATCTGGGCAACTTAATGAGGCCAGTCTCAAAAGCGTTCTAAAAAGTGCCAGGAGTGAAGTTCAGTGGTAGATTGTTTGCCTGATAAGCACATGAAAAGCCAGGATTTAATCTCCATTATAAGAAAGGAAGGAAGGAAGAAAGGAAGGAAGGAAGGAAAGAAGGAAGGAAGGAAGGAAAGAAAAAAAGAATGAAAAACAAAAACAACAAATAAAGCAGTTGTTGAGTGGTGTGACCTGGAGTTGTTGAGTCATGTGATCTGGAGTCCTCTCAGACTTAACTGCGGAGGAACTGCAAACAGCAGCGTGCCCTAGGGTGCTCACTGTGTAACTCTGTGCTACCTAGATTCAGGTTTCTGCTCATTGCGCTATGGGCTGGCTCTCATCATGCACTTCTCCAACTTCACCATGATAACGCAGCGTGTGAGTCTGAGCATTGCCATCATCGCCATGGTGAACAGCACCCAGCATCAGGACCCAGCTAACGTATCCACAGAGGACCCTTTGACGGACCCTCTCAGTAACCGGAGCAGAAGCATCAAGGACTTTAGTGCGCAAGTGAGTGCGATGGAGAGAAGGTTCTTGATGAGAGAAAATAGCAGTGACGAAAAGGAAGCGCGTGCATGGGAGGTTTCAGTCTTAGCTCTGCTGAGTATGGAATTCAACTGTAAACTGTAAGAACCGACATTATTTTTGAGGCCTTGCTTGATGCTATGCTAGTAATAATCATTCCTTGAAATAATATTATAGACAAGTTGTAAGAAAATGTTAGCAATTTAAAAATAGGCCCAATAAGCAACGTGGGTAGCTTCAGAGAAAAATTAGTTACTATCCAGGGGAACCCTTCTGTGTTAGCCAATTCTCAGTCCCTGTAGCTTTCATCACTTCTAGCCATTTATAGCTCTTCAAAGTCTATTTGAAGAGTAGAAATGCTTATGATTCCAGTCCCGTGGAGAGTCAGTCTCCCCTCTTCTCCAATCAGCAGCTCCCCCACTGTGGCTGAATAAGGCAGTCTGTCATCTACTTAAAATCCATCTCAGCTTTCTGTCCAGCTTAGATATGTGTGGTTTTTTTCTTCTCTTTTTCACAAGCTGCCACATTTTTACTGTTTTCCTCATTAATCAACGAGTTAAATAATACCTCTATCACAGTTCATCACATCTATATAAGAGCCATAAAGATACCCTATTTTTGCAAGCATCCTTCATCTCCTCACTTCCTACATATTCCTAATGTCATCCCTATAATTCACAGCTTATGAGTGTTTTATATTTCACCTACCCATTCACACTCCTGGGTTTGGGGACTCAGGGCACCTTCAAGTTAACTGACACGTGTCTGGACATGCTGTGGTCCACCAGAGCCTGGTCCTCCTCCTCAGGACAAAACCATCCATAAGTGGTCCATAAAAGTCTCTACTCCAAGCCAGCCCTGTCACTATCAGTATGA